ACTTCAATTATGTTAACTTCTATTAGCATTTCAAACAATGTTGAAACCTGACCAGAGTTTCCTTCGTGCCTATAATAGATTGAACCATACGAAATTATTCAGATACTCTTTCAAAGTCATGATATACTCTTGCGTATCTTCAATTGTTAGATATATGTAGAAAAGAGCCGATGGCGATCTATTGATTTCTTAGTAAATGTGGCTATTCTTGGTTATTGTCAGATATTGCCATGATCTTGGTTTCTTGCAGAAATTAATTTATATTGCAGTTGTGAATAGCTCGAAACCATGTACATAGTATAAACCAAATTTACAATCAGAGGCACTGTTTTATTAAGGCAATATCAAGAAGAAAAGTGTTAGATATTAATATGACATGATCATCATCAATTTTCATAGGATCTAAAAAGCATGAAATTATTATTTAATGGATGAAATATCCGAGAAAATAATAAGCGTGTTAGATCATGAACATTCACTACTAATTTGCTATCGTTTTTTTTTTCATTTTTTATCGAATTTTAATCATTCGCTAAAATTTAAAAACATACAATTTTGTCTTCAGTGAGACATAATTATTCTTAACATATTTTGAAAACTTCCAATTGAAAACATTGCTGTTTTATTAAGATACATAATTTTCAAAGATTAGTTGCTTGCTACGGGCATGTTCCGACAGTCGAGTTTACTTGAAATTCAGTACAGTGGTGAAGAAATCTATTCGAAATTTGAAGTTTCTGAATATTCTACAAATTACATGTTATTAGATCTGTTCATAGAAAAAAAAAGCTCGCGTGAAAATTTATTTTCCTGACTTCTCGAAGGATACATAACCATTATAACTCAGGGTGTCAAATATCGGTGGGTAAAACCTCGTTAAGTCCTTTTATTACGTCAGTCTATTGAGTTTACTAAGATGTAAATGTGTCAGAACAAAGAGAAGCAACACAGTTGATTCTCTCATTTGATTTAAAACACTGATAATGAGGTTGCATTGACGTCATACGGTTTATTTATTGACAGGAACTTTACAGAAGAATGACATTACCTGTAAAAATACTAAGTATTACTTTAGCCTATTAGTGATCTTAATAAGAACATTTCTTACGTTAGTAGATATGTGTGCATTTAGAATACTTCGCCCCTTTTATTCATTATACATTTTAGATATTTTCTTCTTTTTTTGAATAGCTCATATAATAAAAAAGTAATATCTTATACTAAATTATTGTACTCAAACAATATGACTTGGGGTTTTCAATAATATATAAGATAATATATTAATCTGATTTTGTAGAAATGTCATACTTTTCTTATTTTTAGTTTGTAAAACAAAATATTTTTGTAACCTTAAGTCCCATTTTTAAGATAATTATCATTACTTCTCAACTAAAAGAATAAAGTGAACCAGTAACTCAATAGTAAATGACTAAAAATTACGCTTTAGGCTGCTGATTTTGCTACGATAAACATCAATTCATTTAAAAGATCCTGAAATCAGCAGTACTATCGATAAAATAGTAATAATTTTGATATTTCATCAATAACATAACCTTGTATTCGGTTTATTTTTAAACTTTGCCTGATCTTTTCTAGTTTTCATCAACAGTACTTGAAAAATAGGCTTCCTAAGAAAGTTAATGAATACTTCAACACTTTTCTTTACTTTCACGTTTCTCAATCGAGCTATCGTGAATTCTTGGAAAGTTTTTTTTCTAGTCAATCACTAGTTTTTCCACTGACAGCGTATGTCAATATGTAGGACAAAACATTGCTCACATATTGATCAAGCATTTGCTGGTATTGTATAGTAAGTAGATGGCTGCTACTATAATGATAGTATTCAAATGTGATATTTTTTCAAAACATGAAAATTTCGATTAATGTTCTCCCTGTAAAAAGTGAGAATAAAAAAAATAATTTCGTCGTTTCGTGTCTCATAGCATACGATATCAAAAGTAATGAGGCTACCAAATTCAAATTTTAGAAATCAGGACGTTTTTGTAAAAAATCAGGAGTATTTTTTGCTGACATTGAATAGTCCTTCGATGGTTTTTATCTGATAACGATCCATTTTTCACTAATATACGCATTAACCTCTTTTCCTAATGAGATTGATGCTGAAAAATTTCCTTGCAGGCGAATTAAAATTGTAAATGCAACGTTGATTTCATTAAGTCTATTTCAACAGATAATTAAACGCGTTTATTAGAATACATGAAAAATAGAAAATCAAAACTAAATTCTAATTATTATAAATCAAAATCAAAGCGTATAAGTACAAAGTAGAAAAAAAAGAAGCAATTTACTCAACAATTCGCGGCACTTTTCAGAAGTGACTGTACTTCGTTTTCTATTGTCCTTCCATAAATATTTCATATGACTAAAGATTGTTTCATAGAATGCACTTGAAGTAGGAATAGAAAATACAAATTGAACAAGCTTTTATAAGTTAGGATTCTTATATCTGTTTAACGCTTCGATATGTTTGTTTTTTTCTCTTTAAAATCGCTATAGGTTCAAAATATTGCTAATCGTCACATAAAAAAATCAGGAGAAAACATAAAAAGCAGCTCCTGAAATCAGAAGATTTTTTGCAGGAGAAAAGTTCGAAAATCAGGAGATCCCTGGTCAAAACAGGAGATTTGGTAACCTTGTGCAGATATTATTTCTGTATTATTTTATAGTACTATTATCAGTGAAGATTATTTTTCGTCATGAATCTAGAATATGAATACCTGTTTTGAAAGTAGTTCTGTGTAGTATGACGATGATAATCATTCATATTACTAGAGAAATAATCGAAAGATTCTTTACATTTTTAGTATGATCAATTAAATGTTTTGTTTTTCTCACACATCATTTAGTGTTCTGCTCTCTATGGTTCTTGTACACGAGTGAGTGTACTAGTATAATTGGTATTCAGCATTTGAAGCTGTTTACCCGGCGAAAGTGATATTTCATTGGTGGTGCCATTCGTTCGAGTTTGAGTCGTTACAGATACGCGAGATCGTTGTCGACAATAACATTCAGTGAAGCAGCTGAATGTGGCTATCGAATCACAACGAGATTTGCATGAGACCAATGTGTTTGAATAGAACGATGAAGCTGAAAACATATATACAAATAGTTCAGTGCTAACCTGTGAAAATCCTTCAATTGATCGACGATCAACTGACTTGTTGGGTATATCTCGAGTTAATGTTGTATACAGATTATTCGACATAAACGGAATTGTTGAAATAAGAAAGATGGTCAGTTGCCCCAATAGTAGAATTAACACTTGATGCTCACGGCTGTCTTTACGACGTTCTGCTCTATTTATTATAGTCATTGTTCTACGTTGCGTTTTCTTCTTGACACTTGTCCAAATAAATTTAGTGCACAAAGTCATAAATAAAGGTGGCAATGTACCACCCATGATAAGTATGTAAAGAGCATGATAAATAGCAACACTATTATTCGATACAACGCATCCGATATTCCCAGGTAGTACAATATTAGCAAAGATCAGTGTATGTACAGGTAATACCATCCATCCATACAATGCCAAAGTCGACTGCTATTCGACTGGCCATATTCGTCATGAATAAATGACAGATATTAGCATTTGCTGAACATGCAAAACAACGATCAGCACGTGCCATAACCAATAACCATCGACATGACATTGCACTCCATTGATTAACATACATTCGGATTTTTCAAAATGCATTGAAAGTAAAAAATGGATTCGGAAAGTTGAATTGAGCATAAATCAGTGGTATGATACTCATTGATAGTAGGATAAGGGCAGTAAATAATGATCTAAAAAAGTCTATCCATGAAAATTCCCTTTAAAAGCAGTAAAGATATTTTAGGATTCGATTACTTACACGTACAACAAGAATTCGAAAGTAAATTTCTTTGAGAGAAAAGTAAAATATTTATGAGCGATCCAACAGTACCAAACACAAATACACCCGACTCGATGTATCTAATAACGATTTGTTGTGCAATGACCAGTGATGCAGCTAATGGTGTTGCCATATCTAAATAAAATTCTTATTAAATTGAGAACACCTTATTTATTAAGTAGATTTGTGTTCGAAGCAGGGCTGGAACCGATCCGGCCGGACCGGTTAAGAAATTCAACCGGGCCGGTAAATACCGGAAAATCGCCGGTTGAAATTTTAAAATAACTATCTTCATTTAACTGTGTTTTGTTAAAAAGATGTTTTATCAGTATATATATACATTTATTTATATATAAAAAGTCCTATAAATCTGTTGATGCTGCAAATTTTTTGTGGAATTCAGAAGAAATCTTGATTATAATCATAAACACCAGTAATAAGTCTCATTTTCTTTCATAGTAAAGAGAAATCAACGGAAGTGCGACAGTTGATCAATTTGGTTGGTCAATGCATTATCAATAGTGATTTTTTTTTCTGTCGTGTTTTATTTCTTTCTCGTCCGTCTTTGCCGGAATTTCACCGGTTCCAGAATAATTTATGTCCGGCCGGTAAACCGGTCGGACAGGACCGGTTTATAAATATCTTACCGGTTCCAGCCCTGGTTCGAAGTAAAACAGCGATATCTCAAAGAGTAAAATGAACGGCTTTCTGTTCTATTCTTCTTTTATATTTGATTCTGTTTGATACTGTTACCTGCATGAGATGTTGCCGTCAATGAAGCCAACAACAGTTTACAAATTGATTGAAGACAAACATCTCAGAAGTTCTGATCTGGAAGTACCAGTATACTGTCGGTTAAGAACCTGATGGCTATTTCGATTTAATACTCTAAATAAAATGACAAGTAGATCAAATTCTTCATTGTTGTCGAATGCCAATATTTATTACAATCCAAAAGTCTGTTCAAAAATTGTCGAAACATAAGAAATTGAGTCGAAGTAAGTATTATCCAACGTAAATCAGCTTTTTTCAAGCACTTCATATTGACAGATTAAAAATGAACATTGTAGACACATAATTGTAACGATTATCTCGAAAAGTTTTCATATTAAGTGCAGTTTAAATGATAACTTATCAAACTTACTATCCCAAAAAGATGTAATATTCACATGAAATAATGGTTCAATCTCACATGATGAATTCGATTAACAGGATGCGATCATTTTCTGAAGACATGACTCATACATCTTTCAACATAAAGATCAATATCACCAATTTAAAAACGATAATCAGAAATTATATATTGTCAAAAATGAGATGGAAAAATAAATCATGATATTTTTCTTCTTTCTTTCCTCTCTTAAAAAACGATTTTAGAAGAATTCAATGGAATTTTTACGATTTAGTATTTCCAACAGACCAATAATCGATAAAAACAAACCCTGAGTACAAAAGGATACTGTTAACATCGCGAAGAAGTGTAAAATATACCAAAATAGTTCTTCTTCTGACTACAAGCATTTATGAAAAACTTTATTTATCTAAATCTAGAATGAATTCGAAAAAAATGATCAAATGACATTTGCATGTACGTCATATTTATAATCCGTCACAGAAACGTATATTATGATAGGCCTTTTTCTTCATCATAATTCCGTGTTGTGAACCGTGTGACGTCATGCAAAATTCGAAAGCATCAATATTAAATATGCTATAATTAAAAGCTTAATTCAACTCTAGCAAATTATGTCCTCAGATACTACGCAACTACTGGTTTACGCTCTCTGGAATTGTCAGATATGAGAAAATTCTTTCACTGGTGCTTATATTAAATTTGCAAAGATAGATGCTGACGTAAAGCAACTACATACCAGTTGTATGTGAAATCTTCTCTCTACAAAGTCTCATATATGTTGTTGGAGAGTATCATTAGAAAACTCCATGCACACACTATCATATATCTTTGCTCCCGATATAACAATTTTAAAATCTTCGCTCGTCAAATAGGCAAAGAGAAAAATAGAAAGTTTTTCATGCGAGAGTTTTCAAATGACTTCATAAAATTTCAAAACTATGATAAATTAACAGTCAATGAAGCAAAGGCTTTATCAGGTCGAAAAATACGCTTCACGAACGATAGTAAATAGGTAAAGGATGGTTGCTTTATGAAAAGCTATTCCTTTTTGTGTACCAAGTTTCGCTTACGATACTGCAATGAACATTATTTGCGGACTGCTTTAAGGTATTAGCAAGAATTTCATGGAATGTTTTGCGTAGTTTTGTTGTTATTATGAACTTTTTTCCTCATAAAATCAACTATACACAGAGTGAAAGATATTCACTTTTCGAATGATATTGAATACAGTGACAACCGCATATGAACTGAGAAACTTCGTCATACTAATTGGTCTCTTTGAAAATAGCTATATTTTAACTGGAACATTCATATTAGTAGCTTAACTGCATCGTTTATTTTTTTAATACTCTATTGACATAAGATACACAGGCAATTATTTGTAAAATGACTGATGGCGTGAAAAAATCAACAGAACATTCAACTATCAATATTTTCTTTGCAAATTAATTCATTTCGTTGTTTATTTTTAGGTTTAATTAGTTCTTTTTTGTAATTTTGCTAGAATCTTAATTAATTTGTGCTCGATTCTTGTTCAACTTCATTTCTTCATGAACTTATTTTCCTGACATTATTAATTAACGCGTGTAGCTACATTCGAATTTTGTTCATGAAGATGTAATTTGAAACTGACTATATTTTAATTGATCTCTGATGCTTTTTGTGAATTAACAATAAATATAGACATGTCAAATTATCTCCCCCATGTTGAGGGTTATAGAGTTTCTATAACCTCTTCTGTGATCTTACTTATTCGACTTGCGTCAACATGAAAAAGTAATGGGTTGCTCATTATATTTATTGTACTATAGTCGCTTATGTTCCGTTCCATATCTCGTCATTTAAATGAAATAAATCAGAAAAATAAATGATATTACACATTGCGATTGAAAAACTAAACAGACTTCCAAATAGTTAATAGAACTAGTAGTATATCGCGTAGTACAACGATTAATTACAATTATTTTACAGTACAAAGTGACAATATTTAAGGCTGCATGCCTATTAGGACTACGACAGCTCCATTTCAGTTCAGTTCACGGGAACTGAACTGAAATGGAGCTGTCGTAGTCCTAATTCCTATCGTCGTTTTATCCTTTTACCGATCGAAAACGTGTTGGGAAAGATAATCGTTCTGATTTACCGACGTATAGAGATCGAAGGTTTTATAATGTGGTATCCATGTCATGAGATATAATCTCTTTTTTTTTTCACTTCGCTTATTCAGCTTTTTAGTAATGTTTTTTTGTGCTTCTAGATGACGCACACCGTTCGTTTTATTCAACGTGCTTTAGTAAATATTTTACAGGTATCTTACACTTTGAAAGAGTCTATGTTTGCCGTTAAAATTAAAACATAAATGTAAGCATCTGGATAACCACAATAAGTCAACGTATTCTCTGAAACAATAAAAATAAGCATAACGCATTTTCTTCTGAATGATGAAATATTCGAGCGATTAGGAATAATATTTCGCTGATTTCATCGTCCGCTCAATGGTAAACAGTATGAGTAGCATCAACCCCGTTTCGATAAAACCATTGATTGAAGAATGTAAACGTGGATATCAAATCGCTACAAAAGCTGTACAACACTTAAGTGTTAAAACAAAATGATGCCACTGGGAATCTATAAAAAAAAACGCTCTCAATCCTTCCTTATGATCATAACTTTGAAAAGGAAATTGTTCTATCTAATCGAAATAATGCATACATCAACAATAGTTTTTTTGAATTTGTGGGACTAATAATATTTTATTAAATAATATTCATCAATTGATTGAATAACAGGCAGTTACAATATTTCATTTGAATTTTTCTTTTTATATTTACGTAATGTTTTTTTTTCTAATATCGAAATCAATCCAAAAATAGACTTAGTCTATCGTTATACGTATAACACAAGTTTATTTCTATACAGTAGCTATCAAGTCATACATTTTATGACAAGGTTACAGTGATCTTGTATAACACAATTTTAATATATCATTTTGTTACACAATGTCTCGTTGATTCCTTGTGCTATTATCATCTGTCGTTTTTTCTGGAGACGAAATTCTAAATGACAGACAACAACAACAATTTTTATTGTGAATCACTATTTTCGAAACAAAACACTCATTTAAAAGCCTATGTAAGAAGCTATAGACATCTCCAATTCAAATATATTGCATATGTATTCTTCACTAGAAATCATTGATATTTATATTTAAAAGTGTAGCTAGAACAAAACATATTATTCTTGCGGAGACATAAACCATATGCAAAAAAAGATACGAAGCAAAGCCATGCAACCTGACAAACACACCTATATTCATATCTTGTTTAAGATAAAAGAGAGACAGGTGCGGACCCCTGTTATCAAAAGACACAAAACCATATACAAAAAAGATATACTTACAAAAAAAAGGATTGTTATATACTTCGAATACCGCTGCAATGTTCCTTAAAAGTCTTCTCCTTATTATATTCTATGTTCGATATTCATGCGAATTAAATAATGGTC